GGAAGATCCCACATGCCGCGGAGCAACTAAACCCGTGTGCCACAACTACTGAGCCTGCACTCTAGAGCCCGCGAGCCACAACTACTGAGCCCACACTCTGCAACTACTGAAGCCCGCGTGCCTAGAGCCCGTGCTCCACAACAAGAGAAGCCACTGCAGTGAGAAGCCCACTCACTGCAACGAAGAGCAGACCCTGCTCGCCACAACTAGAGAAAGCCCACGCGCAGCAACCAAGACCCAACACAGCCACAGATTAATTAATTAATTAATTTTAAAAAATAAATAAAAGGAGACAACTTAGGGGCTTCTCCACAGAGTCTGTTTCAAACATGAGAATTATCTCTGAAAGGTCCTAGTTGGGTAATTTAGATAATTCATGTCTTGGTCTGTTTGGGCTGCTATAAGCAAATCCCACAAAACAACAGATTTATTTCTCACAGTTCTGAAAGCTGGACATCCAAGATCCGGCTGCCGGCCAACTTAGTTCCTGCTGAGGCTCTCTTCGGGCCTTTGCGGACAGCCACCTTCTCACTGTGTCCTCACGTGGCCTTTCCTCAGTGCAGTGGGAGGAGAGGGGGAAAGCGCTCTCCCATGTCTTTTCTTTAAGGGCACTGATCCCATCGTGGGGGCTCCACCTACGTGACCTTATGGCCTCCCAAAGGTCGCATCTCCTAATACCATCATACTGCAGGTTAAGGCTTCAACATATGGATTTTGGGAGGACACATTCTGTCCGTAACAACCCATATATGATGGGTTGAACAATTGAGAGGATTTCGGGAAAGCTTGGGCTATATTTCTAAGCATAATAGTAAGAACTCGTATGAGGTAGGGGTTGTTATTCCCACCTTACAGGGGAGGACCCTATAGAACAAAGAGATGAAGAATCTTCCCAAGGTGCACAGCTAATGAATGACAGCGCCAAGATTTGACTGTACTGGCCCAGAGTTCTCTTGCTTAATGCAGTATGAGGCCCTCTGACACCATCCAGAATGGGAGGGAGAAGGCAGAAAGCTACCCCACGTACCTAGAAGCTACTCTTTCGGGATGCAGGCAAAGATGTGATGCTAGGCCAGGAAGCAGGTGGTTTGGCCCACTTGGAAATACATTTTTAAGCTGTCTGTCTAAACTTAGAGACTCTGCAGCAATGTAGTTCTAACCTTAGAGGAATAAAAAGGCATAAAATACAATGTTTGATTCAAGTTAAAATCCATTCAGTCATTTTAAAAAATTTATCTTTGGTCTGGATACTTCCTTTCTTTCCAAGAGGATAGTATAACCAACAGCCACAGAGACAGAACAATCCATTCTCATTTCTCAGACGGCGGCTCTTCTCTCAGACCAGAAAGACACAATTTTCAGTGTGCCCTGCTGGCCCCTAGGTAGTCCCTGTGGAAAAGAGGAAGAGCATGTTTCAAAACACTGAAGCCAAATACGGTATGCTGTGAACCCATAACACGTTGCCAATAAGTGAACCACTTGTCCCTTGAGAAATGGTTTCCACCTTCGCCGCCCAAACCCTGACTCCTTTGCCACTAGAATAACCAGGTCCAGTTTCCACAGTGCTGTCACCTGGGCAAGGAGAGGTGTCTCGTGGCCACATCACACAGGAAGGAACTGGGGTCAAGAAAGCTTCAAGTGTTTGCTTGTCGGGACATCCCTCGACGGCGACCGGACCTCACATGGGTGTCCGGGCTCTTCCCGGAGACCAGCAGACCGGGCACAGGTCTCTGTGCAGGCGAGCACCCTGCTGGGCCGGGGCCAGACGGCGTCAAGAGAAAGCAGAGGGCATGTCTGGTGGGCCTGGAGCCGTGTCTACTGAGCTGTGAGATCATTCCCCTTTCAGCTGGGTGTTTGCCTAAGGTCCCTGGAGGCCTTCAAAGATCACTCTGTTCTGGGCTCATTGCCAAGGTCCTGGGTCTACTTGCCAAGCAGGTCCACAGGCCCTGGGGTGGGACGGGCTGCGGGGAGGCCAGGGCTGGCGGGGACAGAGCCCCGCTGGCTCCAGTTCCCCGGGTGAAGGGAAGGGGACTCTCACTAATGCAGCCTCTCGCCGGAAAAGGTGGTCGCCGTGGTGATGGATCTACAGGGACCTGTCTTAGCTTAGCATCCGCTTCTAGTGGAGCAATTGCTTTGCTTTTTATTCAGCCAGTGAGCAGTTTTTGAGCCCCTGCTTTGTGCCAGTGCCTGGCTAGAAAGACAAAGACAAAAAACAAAGTCCCCGCCATGAAGGATTGTATAGGTTCCTGGGAATCGGTCCCTCCTTGGGGAGGGAAGGGGTGCAGCTTCAGTGGGCCCTCTGCTCTGGGTGACTGTGGTGGGGAGGGAGGTGCCACTCTTTTCTGGGCACTGATGATGGGCCTGAGTGATGCCGGCCTCTCCGGCTCCTGCTGGGCACGGTTATCAGGGACAGGCTGAGCTGCCCGAGGACCTGGACCCCTCTAAGGACGGGTGCAAAGATCTGTGCTACCCAGGGACTTCCCTGGTGGTCCAGTGGTTGAGAATCTGCCTCCCAGTGCAGGGGATGGGGGTTCGATCCCTGGTCAGGGAACTAAGATCCCACACGCCACGGGGCAACTGAGCCCACGCGCTGCAACTGAGACCCAACGCAGCCAAATAAATATTAAAAATAAAAATTAGGGCTTCCCTGGTGGCACAGTGGTTGAGAGTCCGCCTGCCGATGCAGGGGATGCGGGTTCGTGCCCCGGTCCGAGAAGATCCCACATGCCGCGGAGCAGCTGGGCCCGTGAGCCATGGCCGCTGAGCCTGCGCGTCCGGAGCCTGTGCTCCGCAACAGGAGAGGCCCAGAAGTGAGAGGCCCGCGTACCGCCAAAAAAAAAAAAAAATTAAAATTGAAAAAAGATCTGTGCTGCCCAGAACAGCAGCCACTGGCCAAACGTGGTGGCTGAAAACTTTAAATAAAATTTAAATCCAGTCCCTCAGTTACATTAGCCACCTTTCAAGTGCTCAGAGCCACCCATGCTGGTGGCAGCTGTATTACAGCAGACACAGAACACGCTGCTGTTCCTGTAAGGTCTACTGGATATTCTTCCTGCGTGGATAATTGCAACAGAAAGTGGTCCACGCCGGGTGCCCGTGGAGGGAGGGGCCTACACCAGCTGAGGTGGGGGGCATGGGGAAGCCAGTGGAAGAAGGAAGAGCTTCTCCGGAAGCCGCCTCTCTGCTGAGCCACACCTGAGGCTCCCAGCTGTCTCCCAGCAGGACAGAGCCCAGACCTCACCTTGACCTCACCTTGAACGTTGGTGACCCTGGTCTGAGGCCCCTTCCTTCTCCCTGTGTCTCCTCATCCACTCCATGGCTATGTTTGTACCATCCAGTGGATCGCAAACTGCATCAGAAACCCCTGGAGAGCTTGTTAAAGGACAGATTCCTGGGCTTCCCCCAGTTTCTGATCAGTGAGACAGGGGTGAGGCTGGAGAATTTGCGTTTCTAACAAATTCCTGGATGATGCTGATGCCGTCAGTCTGAGAACCACACTTTGAAAACCATGGATGTGGTCCAAAGAATCACATTCATTGATTCAGTCATTCAACAAATATTTGTTTCATGCTGCCATGGGCATGGTGCTCTTTCTGTATGTGAGCAACCAGGCAAGGTCCCTGTTCTGGGGAGCCTACATTTTCCGGGGGAGAGACAGACAGGAAGCAAACCTGTGTTGGGTGGTGATGAACATTATGAAGAATAAAGCAGGGCAAAGGAAGAGGCCCCACTGACAGATCATGTCTGAGCAGAGACCTAATGGAATATTACTCAGCCATAAAAAGGAACAAAATGGGGTCATTTGTAGAGATGTCGATGGACCTAGAGTCTGTCATACAGCGTGAGGTAAGTCAGAAAGAGAAAAACAAATATTGTATATTAACGCATATATGTGGAATCTAGAAAAAGCGGTACAGATGAATCTATTTGCAGGGCAGGAATAGAAATGCAGACGTAGTGAACGGATGTGTGGACACAGCCGGGGGAAGGGGAGGGTGGGACGAATTGGGAGATTAGGTTTGACATAAATACACTACCATGTGTAAAACAGATAGCTAGTGGGAACCTGCTGTATAGCTTAGGGAGCTCAGCTCTGTGCTCTGTGATGACCCAGATGGGTGGCATGCGGGGTGGGAGTGAGGGAAGTCCCTGAGGGAGGGGATATATGTATACATACAGCTGATTCACTTCATTGTACAGCAGAAACAACATTGTAAAGCTATTATACTCCAATTTTAAAAAAAAAGAAAAGAAAGTGGAGAGCAGGTATGACCCAGCCTTTCTGGCCCCGTTCTTGCTCTGCCCTCAGCTTTTTACTCTGAAACATGAGTCGTGTTAAAAATCAAGGGCACCAGTCTATTCAGTAGCAAGATGCTGAAGACAAATTCGATGGTGTGTGTATGTGTTTCATTCAAAAGAGGCCTGAGGCCAACAACTGGGCAGGGTAAGGAGTCCCTAGCGCTAAGGAGGAGGCCACCATCATCCCCTTCCACGTGATGTCTTGGGACCCCCAGTCCCTATGGCTCAGGCTCACTTCCAGTTCCTTTCCCTGCCCATCCCGCTCAGGCCAAAAGGCGCCTGTGCAGGGGTGGGGTGGGCAGAGCGTGGCCTGGGGCCTGGGATTCCTTCACATAGGCGTCTGAGTTCCTACTGATGGGGGGGGGGGCACAACTGCTACAGCGGGGAGGGGGCCAGACCCGGCCCAGGCTCTACTTGCCTTCTTGTCCTGGGTCCTGTCAGCCTGAACCAATTAGCTGAATGCTCCTTACTTCTCCCCAGCTTTGGGGTCCAGACAGAAGAGTGTCGGTCAACCAACACTTTATCAACCATTGCTGGAAAAATAAACACATGCAATAGAGTCCGGGAGTCAATAGCGGTCCCTTCATAAGTGAGGACGGTTCCTGGGTTCTACCCTCTTATAAACACAAGCCTTCATGATGAAGTGCAGACCAAGTGCCTTTAACACCTAATTTTCCTTTTCAACCTGTGATATCTTTTAGGCCCAACTGTCTCAGGCCTTAAATGGAGTTTCTGATAAGGCAAAAGAAGCCAAGGAGTTTCTAGTTCAGCTGAAGAACATTCTACAGCAGATCCAGGTGAGCATAGCTCCGGCTGGGAGGGGAGTCCCTGCAGGAGGTACGTGAAGCTTAGCAGAGGAGAGGAAAGGCCCCGTGGCAGGCGCTTTTCAGTGCTGAACATGAGAAGGCCTAGTTGTCCCACTGCACAGCCTCCGATGTTGCGGACATCACCCACTCGATCCACTGACACCCCTGTGACGTCTGATAGGAAAGGGATTTTGCATGAACTCAGAGAGAATTCTAGAAAGAGAACTGGGCAGAAATAATGCAGCTCTCTGCGTGGCCACGTAGCCCTAGGCGGTATCTGTATACGGTGCTTTTGTACCAACACGTCTAAATATAAAAGCATCATTTACTAAACAAATGTATTTACTGAGCACCCATGCTGTGTCACATACAAGCCCGACGCAGATCAGTAAGGGACAGCCTCTGTCCCCAGGAGCTCTGTCTGGCAGGGAGACAGCGTATAAACAAACGCACGCGTGGAGGAACTTTCACACAGATCACGAACCGTAGAGCATTCCGGTGTCCAGATGGGAAAAAGGACTGAGGGCACAGAATTCGGCTGCCAGGCGTCTCCTGTCCTGGCTCTGATGTTTCAGGGACACCGGAGGTATCCATTTGGTGGGGCAGCTGTAACAAGGTACCATCGATTGAGTGGCTTCAACAACAGTAACTTACTTTCTCATAGCTCTGGAGGCTGGAAGTCCAAGATCAAGGTGTCAGCAGGGATGGCTCCTCCCAGGGCCTCTCTCCTGGGTGTACAGATGGCCATCTTCTCCCTGTGTCCTCACACCGTCCTCCCTCTGTGTGTGTCTGTGTCCTGATCTCCTCTTGTAAGGATGCCAGTCGGACTGGATCAGGGCCCAGCCTGATGACCTCATTTAACTTACTTCTTTCAAGGCCCTGTCTCCAAACACAGCCCCATTCTGAGGTCCTGGGGGTTAGGACTTCAAATAGGCACTGGGGGCAGGGGTGGGAGACAACACCACCAGCCCGTGACACGAGGTCTGAATCCAGGCTGACCTGAGTGATGTTGAAAGATTTTTTGTTTTTTTTGTTTTTTTTTTTTAAACTGAGAGAGTCCGATCCTACAGCAAGAACAGTGGGTTTTGTTTGTTTTACTGTTTTCTGATTAGAGAAAGCAAAAGTATGTTATAGAAATTTTGAAAAGTAGAGAGTAACAGACAGAAGTAAGAAAAGTTCACCAATATCTCAGCCCCTGAGGTGACGCCCTCGCCGTTTTGACACGTTGCTCCACTGCCTTACACACACACATGCACGTGCGGTGTGCGGTTACGCTGCACACGCTTGCAGCTGCTCTTCTTCTTCTTCGGTCTCTCTCACGAGCTTTTCCCGTGACATTGAAAACCCTCACAAACCCTCATGGTTTGGATGACTCTGAATATTCACTCCATCCTATAGATGTGCTGAGACTCACATGTGCACTGTTTCCAGTTCAATAACGGGACAGCTTACCCCAGGACGAGCTTGCTGGTGTGCCCCTGTGTCTCTCGTGCTGGCCACGTTTCCGAGTGTCTTCTCCCTAAAGCTCTGTGCATCCCGCAGGAGAACGGCCTGGACCACGAGGCCTGCCTGGTGGCTCAGTGTGACGCGCTGGTTGATGCTCTAACCCGGCAGAAAGCCAAGCTGCTTACCAAGATTACCAAAGAGAGGGAGAACAAGCTGAAGGTGGGTCCCCGGGTGGCCGATGCCCTCGGTCCCATCACGGCCTCCGAGCCGAGCTCGGGGGAGCACGCAGTGTAGGCTCTGGGTCAGTGTTAGTTGAGTGAACAAACGAATGAATGAATGAACGAACGAACGAATGAATGAACAAATGAAGGAATGAACAAACGAATGAATGAACGAACGAACGAACGAACGAATGAATGAACGAATTAATGAATGAACAAACGAACGAATGAATGAATGAACGAACGAATGAATAAACGAACGAACGAATGAATGAACGAACGAATGAATGAACGAACGAATGAACGAACGAACGAATGAATGAATGGGGAGAGGAAGGGCTGAGCAAGTTGGCCCGGGACCTACTTACACTCGTGTCACTTTCCCTGAAGCAATCAGCACCCCTGCTCTCCCTCCAAAGCTGGAGGGAGATGCCTGAATCCTGCTGTTTTCAGTCAGAAGGCCACTCTCTCCCATCTTCTCCCGGCCCCTGTTTTCTGTCGAAGGGACACTGCCTGTTCTCATCTTGCAGAGCAGAGGTGGCCACGGCGGGTGACAAGGCTCCGGCTCTCCCCCTTCTTCGGGCTTTCTGATGTCTGGTGCTCGCAGTGGTCAGCAGGGACACCACAGCCAGTGGCCACTGCGGCAGGGGGAGGCTTCCCCCCACTCGGCACTGGGTCCCCGGGCCAGGCAGGTGCCCCGTGAACACCCTGCCTTGACAGAAACTACTCACCTCATTGTCTGGGCTCGATCTATTCTACAGACATTTCCCAACTGAATCAGGAAGTGTTACTTTCAAGGAAAGAAGGAGTGTGTGTTGGGGATGATCCATGGTTTACATGCAAAGCAGCCGAGCCCCTTGAGTTTCCACCCAACGAGTGAGACTGGGGCGCCGGTCACTAGGAGGGTTTCAGAGGGTGCACGTTCTCTGCTTTTCTATCCAGAGTTCAGGAAGTTTGCTCTGTTGGGTGTGGGGACCCTGCTTGTTGGGAAGTGGGTCCATTTACCGCCCATGTAACGAGGGCACGTGGAGCTCAGGAACACAGCAGCAGCAGGAGAGGGTGCAAGGCAGCCGGGACCCATGCCGCTTGCCGCTGCAGCCGGGCTGCTGTTCCTCGATGAGACAGTTACTAGGGACACTTCTCGTGGCAGATGGTTTGGGACCAGATCAGTCACTGCACGCTGAAGCTGCGCCAGTCCACGGGGCTGATGGAGTACTGCCTGGAGGTGATCAAGGAGAACGACCCGTCCGGGTTTCTGCAGGTGAGCGGGCTGGGCATCGTTCCTCCAAATCCACTGCCATGCCCCAGACTAGCTGAGGTTCTAGGAAGGTTCCTCCCAGCGGCTTGGAGTGGAGCAGAATCTCCTGTGCTCAGCGATTCCAGAAGACCTAGGTTCTCATCTTAGCTCTGCGTCTCACTAGCTGTGACCCTGGCTCTGTGTCATCTTTAAATGAGGAGATCAAACATCATAATCCCTAGGGCTGAAATGCCGTGCTTTCGTGCCTCGACTTGAAACCCCAGTTCAACATTTTCCCCACAGATGAGAAAAGACAGTCTTTGCCAATCAAGCTGGAAAGATTGCACAGGACGAAGTGAGTCAGAAGAATCCACATGACCCGTTCCCTCAGGGTGCGGAGTCCTGCAGGTCTGGGCACGTGACCGCTGCCTGCAAAGCCAGTGCAGCCTTGCTGGGCATCCTTCCAGCAGCCAGTCTGACTCGGGGTCACGAGCACCTCTTGGGATCATGTGTGCGATTCAGACGGAAGCTCTGTCCTCCGTCTCTGGGGAACATGGTGAATCTCCTGGACTGGTCCCCAGCAAGGGTGCATGGGGTCATGGCTCTACAGGGACACGTGCAAATGTCTGAATGAGCAGGACTTGCCAGCAGAGGGGAACAGAGCTGTGGGTTTCATGCAGTGGGAGTTTGGAGCAGAAGCTGCAACACAACGTGGAGGAAACACAGTGGGAGGGAGGGAGCTTCACGCTCCTGGGGATGAAGGAGCTGCTTTCAGACCCTGGGACAAACCACTAGTATGTTTCAATTTGCAAAGTGCTAGATCCAGCAAAAGAGGTAGAGTGAAGACTGTTTTTCTATATTTTAAAAGTACTGGGCTTCCCTGGTGGCGCAGTGGTTGAGAGTCCGCCTGCCCTTGCAGGGGACGCGGGTTCGTGCCCCGGTCCGGGAAGATCCCACATTGCCGCGGAGCGGCTGGGCCCGTGAGCCATGGCCGCAGAGCCTGCGCGTCCGGAGCCTGTGCTCCGCAACGGGAGAGGCCACAGCAGTGAGAGGCCCGCGTACCGCAAAAAAAAAAAAAGTACTGGACTTCCCTAGCGGTCCGCTGGTTAGAACTCCGCGCTTCCACTGCAGGGGGCGTGGTTTTGATCCCTGGTCGGGAAAGACCACGCATGACGTGCAGTGCGGCCAAAATAAATAAATAAAGTAAAAAAATTCTTTTAAAAAGTATCATTTGCTTCACAAAAGGGTTTAGCCTGAAACAGCAAGTGCTTCTTTACGTTTAACATGACTAAGCTGTTAAAAGATGATCTCTGCCAGGGCTTGAGTGGCCGTGCTTAGCCACCGCAGCCCCCTGAGCCCACAAAGTCCCTGTCCCTTCCTTACCCCCTGCTACGCTATTTTCCCTTTGCACGTGGAAACCCTAAACTCTGTGCTTCCTTTAAGATCTCGGACGCCCTGATCAAGCGTGTCCAGGTGTCTCAAGAGCAGTGGGTCAAAGGTGCCCTGGAGCCGAAGGTGTCTGCAGAGTTTGAACTGACCTTGGACAGCGGGCCACTGCTGCAGGCCATCCACCAGCTGGACTTCATTCAGATGAAATGTAGGGGTGAGCCGTGGTTGGCCCAGTTCAGGTGATGCTTCTTCTGGAAGAGGCGTCCACTCTGCAGCGCAGCTTAGTGCCATCGGGAGACTTGTGACACTGCTGTGACCCAGAGTGGGAGGGAGGGACGCCTGAGTCACAGACCTGGGTTCAGATCCCAGCTCAGCGACCCTCGAGCTGGGTGACCTCTGTGGGTAGCACCCAGCCTGGGCCAACCTTTTTCCGTTTGTGAAAGAGGATCATTTGTTCATTCAGAGACACCTGTCGAGTGTCTACCACGTGCCAGGCACCATCCCAGGTGCTCAGGACACAGCCGTGAGCAAGTGTACAGACTCCCTCACTAGACGGAGCTGGTATTTAGAGAAAGAAACAGATAACACGTCGCTAATACGACACGACAGGTAGTGTAACGCAAACTGATAATGGCAGGGGGGACAGACAAGGTGCCTTTTGAGAAGGGGGCATTAGTAGACATGGGTGTTGGGGGGAGATGTTTTGAGGTGAGGAGGAAAGAGATGTCAGGTAAGGGAAGAACATTCCAGAAGGCCGAGGGGTGGTGAGTGCAAAGGCCCCGAGGCAGGTATAAGTGTTCTGTGTTCCAAGAAGAGCGAGAAGGTCAGAGGTGAGAGCAGACGGGAGAAGGTGGTGGATCGTAGCGGTGAGTTCAGAGACCCAAGGGGGACACGAGCTAAGGGTTAAGTAAAGTTTGCATAACTTTCCCCAGGTTACAGAATTAGCAAGTGACGTCCCCCTGCCTCTCCAGAGACGTTAAGGGTACATTCAGGAGGGGGAATGAAGCTCTTTGGTTTTTTTAGACCAATATATCCAAGGGCTGAGTGCCACACCTACAGAATCTGTGAACTCAGGAAAATCCTTACTTGCAAAATGCGTGGCCATTTTTAAACCAGAGACACCCAGTCTCTTGTGCATCTCTGTGCTTTCTCCCATACTCAGTTTGCACCTCCCGATCTCACCTTAATCGAAATTATGATACACTTGACTCAAATCCCTAATTCCACGGGTTGACTGCCTGATACTGTAAGATGGCCTCTCCTTCCGGGATCTAGTTCCTTGGGCCTTTAAAATGCTTCCACACAAAGGTTTCAGTGGGTCTTTGCATTTTGCCCTTCCCCGCCCCCGAGAGCATCTTCCGGGCCCCAGGTGTGAGCTGCTTGCTGCCCTGTGCAGAGGGTCCGCAGAGGCCGGGCTGCAAGTCCTCGCCAGCTGCTCATGGGGCCGAGTCAAAACCAGTGATTCTTAGTGGGCAGGTAGGCAAGGGGCAGCTCTTCCTCAGGGCTCCAGACCCAGAGGGGTGGAGGCACCTGCCAGGCCTCTCCCTGCCCCAGATCCCAGGACCCCCATCCAGGGTTGAGAAGCACACTGAGCTGTGCCCACGAGCAGCCAGGAGTGACGCAGGGTGGCCACCTTTCCTCCTGGGGTGCGGCCGGGCCACGCGGCCTCCCTGTGCCCTGCAGGGGTTTGTGCACTAAAGCCCACCTGTCCCCGTCACAGTGCCACCCGTGCCCCTGCTGCAGCTGGAGAAGTGCTGCACCCGGAACAACAGCGTCACGCTGGCCTGGAGGACGCCGCCCTTCACCCACAGCACCGTGGACGGCTACATCCTGGAGCTGGACGACGGAGACGGGGGCCAGTTCCGGGTGAGGCCCCGCTGCTTGCCGGGGGGAACTTGCGCTGTCCCAGCCTCTGCACCAGCCCAGGGGGCTGCCCTTAGCTCTGATGCCACCAGCGAGGGCATCGGCCCCCAGGACGCAGAGCAAGTGGGCCCGGGCTCATGGGATGTGGGGCTTCTCTACCGAGGGCTGGGTCTGGGCAGGCAGAGGCGGCGGCCACAGAAAGTTCTGGATGGTTTTTCTGTGAAGACTGACACAGGTCGGAGGCCGAGGTAGAGCTCCGAAAAGGTGTCCCCTGCGGTACCCACTTCCCAGTCGGCCCAGCAGCGCAGTGGTATCTGGTCAGCACCCTCCCACCCAGCACCCTGAAGCCTCTCCCCACCCCCTCGAGGTTCCTTCACACCTGCCTTGCCCAGTTCAGTGATTAGTTCACCTGGCAAGGTGGGAAGACACCTGAGAAATGTTTGTTGGGTTGGGGTGACCGTCTACGTTCATGTCCCAAATGATGAAGTCTGTGTGGACAGTAAATACGCTTAGCGAGTCACAAGTGCGTCTTCTAGTCTCGGCCCGTGGTAGCAAACCTGGACGGCTCCCTCCCCAAGCCAGCGCCCTAACACATCTCTACCGCGAGACGGCACACAGTGAAGTTCAGGCTCCCGTCCAGTCGTCGTGTTGACAGGAACACCAGGGAGTACAAACTCTGGGTCTGCTGAGAGCTCCACCTTTCTGTCCCCGAGAGACTAAATAAAGACTCGTTCTAACAAACCAGCGCAGTCATAACAATTCTCATACTTCTTCTCCTGGGAAGTGGCACCCATTCAACGTCTCTTGCCAACGGTCAATATTCTCTTTGTTTCCCTCAACTGGATTGATGCCTATGTCTTGTGTTTTCTTGTTTCAAGAATTTCAGAGTTGGGGAAATCACTGCAGTACTCCCTTGGGAATAATTGAGTCCCTGGGGATATGGGCTCTTTAGTGAGAAGCTGAGGTTGCTTTGGCCAGGAATAGTGGGTCATACACCGGGTCCAGAACCTCAGCCGTTCCGGTCGTGCAAATGAGCTAGGAACTGACAGAGCTCCCTGACTAACCAGAAACCGGGAGGAGAGCTTATGGTTTTGAAACGGGAAGAAAGAGGAGACTGTTTGAGATATTAAAAGAAGCAGCCAGGACTTCCCTGGTGGCGCAGTGGTTAAGGATCCGCCTGCCAATGCAGGGGACACGGGTTCGAGCCCTGATCCGGGAAGATCCCACATGCTGTGGAGCAACTAAGCCCTCTAGAGCCCGCGAGCCACACTCCTGAGCCCGCGTGCCACAACTACTGAAGTCCGCACACCTAGAGCCCGTGCCCCACAATAAGAGAAGCCACTGCAATGAGAAGCCCGCGCACCGCAACGAAGAGTAGCCCCCGCTCGCCACAACTAGAGAAAGCCCGCACGCTGCAACGAAGACCCAATGCGGCCAAAACTAAATATAAAATAAATAAATAAATAAATCTTTAAAAAATAAAAATAAAAGAAGCAGCCACAGGGCTGAACTGAAGATAGCTTCTCCCCTTTGAAGCATGACCACTAACAAAAGCTCCACCCAAGGGCTAGAATTTATGAGAAACCATGTGTTATAGTGGGAAAAGCGTGGACTCTGAATGCAGACAGACCTGGATTTGAACGCTGGCTTCTAAATGGATTAACTGTGATCTTGGGCAAGTTGCCTACCTTCTCTGAGTATCCTTGTGAATAAAATAATGAAAATAATAGCAATGTCCCAGGGTAGTATAAGGATTAAGATGTCTTATACAGGGAATTTCCTGGCAGTCCGGTGGGTAAGACTCCGTGCTCCCAGTGCAGGGGTCCTGGGTTCAATCCTTAGATCCTGCATGCATGCCGCAACTAAGAAGTCCACAGGCCGCGATGAAGATCCTGCGTGCCGCAACTAAGACCCTGCTGCAGCCAAAATAATAATAACATAAATAAGTAAACATGTTTTGAAAAGATGCCGTATACAATGCCTGGCACACAGCTACTATTATCAATAACTTGGAAAAACAAATGAAGAGAAACACCCCTAAGTAATCAAGCAGGTGTTTTAGACTAAGCTGAATGTAATGCCATAGGTGAGGTGTAAGGCTATGCATTTGGGGGAAGTTAATAGGACAGAGTAAGTTTGAAGTAAACGGGAAACAAAGTAAATGTTCTAGAAAAGGATCTTTGGGGGCCGATGCAGAAATGTCCCACCCTCTGGGGAGGCCAGGAAAAAAGCAGCTCCAGGAGTCCCAAAAGGAGGAGGAAGGTGGCAGCCTCAGCAGTGGGAGAAGCGGGGAAGGAGGTGGAGTGCCGGTCTTACTCCAGAAATGGCCAAATCAACTTGAACCACCTGCGCCTGGCCATGCCCTTCCTCCATCTGCTTTTTCCCATCATGTGTGATGACCCTTCCCTTTCAAATATCTTTTGTTTTGTTTATTTAGATGCTTAGCCCATGTTTTTTTCTAACTTAATTTCCCACTGGAAACCAATAATCCCCTCTTACTCCAATCGAGAAGGAAGTGGGGTTTTCAGCAGCCCCACTCCCGGGCTCCGGAGTTCTGTCCGTCCAGCCTCTCCTCTGCGGAGGCAGGACGGTCTCGGGCAGCATCCCGGCTACCGCGCCTCATACCTTCGCAGGAGAGGGCCCATCAGCCAATAGGAAGAGTTTGTGTCCAACTTGGACGTGGCCTGAGACTCGGCCACCACGTGTCCAAAATCTCCTTATTAATAACTCTTTGGGGATGCTAGCACTCTTGATGTCACCGTGCGGCTAAGAGAAATTTTCCACATAACGGAGGCGCCTGACGAGCCGTCTGGGTCTCTTCCAGGAGGTGTACGTCGGCAAGGAGACCTTGTGCACCATCGACGGCCTTCACTTCAACAGCACCTACAATGCCAGGGTCAAGGCTTTCAACTCCTCTGGCGTCGGGCCCTACAGTAAGACCGTCGTCCTGCAGACGTCCGACGGTGAGCCCTGGGGTGTCTCGGGGGAAACAGATTCAGGCCCAACCCACACAGACGGGCAGACAGACAAGGGAAATCTGTGAGCTGCTCATGAGGGAGCGTGAGGGAGTGGCGGAAACAGGTGAGTCTGTCTCTTCCAGCCCCGCCCCTGCTCCGCTCACCTGGCTCCATATGCCTCACCTCCCTGCCCCCCAGCCACGAAGGAAAGAGACACTCCTTCACCCCATTTGCTGGAGCTGGGAAGGGAAGCTAGGAGTTGAGAGGCACAGGGAGGCTAAACTCCCACTTTCGAGGGGCCGAGAGCGGGTAGGATGGTCCCAGAGAAGAGAAGGCATGCGGCTGCCAGAGAGGAACCTACCCCCTCGAATACCCAGCGCGAGAGCTCAGATCTGAGGCGTGCCCACCGCGCTTCATCCTTTCAGGTTTCAGGCAACAAGAGCACGTCGGCGTTCCGCGGGATTTTGATCATCTGAGTCCTTAGCGTCGAGGGATGATGTAGGGGGTCCCAGGACGGTGCCAGCCCTGTGTTTAATGTCATTGTTTATCCCAGCACGTCCTCTGGGGAACACGTGACGGCCTGGACTGTCTCCCAGGGACAGGAGCAGATGATGCTTCCCCCCCCCAGATGGGTTCACCAGCTGTGTGCCCACGGGGGCCCTCGCCTGCCAGCGGGCTGTGAAGCGGAGCCTGGAGCTCTGGGGCTTTGGTGACCTCACTTCACCTCTCTGCGTCTCAAATCCCCCTCCCACGAGTTGGGGTCTGGATATCTACTCCCCCTCACTCATAACAGTGCCCGAAGCGTGCAGAAGGGGCTTAGAAACCAAGATTCCACGAAAGCATTCAGACTGGGGGCCTGAATGTCTGTGTTCCTTGGCAAGGTTGGGTTCATGGGATTGGGATCTTGGATGAACACAGAGGAGGGAACGTGAGTGTGTGTGTGTGTGTGTGTGTGTGTGTGTGTGTGTGTGTGTGTGAGAATCGCACAGGGAAGAACATTCGACACCGGGTGCCCGCTTCCTGAGAGATGCCAGTGGGTCTGTGTCTCCGAGCCCAGGTCACAGGCTGCCACTCACCCTGCGCCTCTTGCCCCTTCCTTTGCAGTGGCCTGGTTCACGTTTGACCCCAACTCTGGGCACCGGGACATCATTTTATCCAACGACAACCAGACTGCCACCTGCAGCAGCTACGATGACCGGGTGGTGCTGGGCACGGCGGCCTTCTCCAAGGGCGTGCATTACTGGGAGCTGCACGTGGACCGCTACGACAACCACCCAGACCCCGCCTTCGGGGTGGCCAGGGCCAGTGTGGGCAAGGACATGATGCTGGGCAAGGACGACAAGGCCTGGGCCATGTACGTGGACAGCAACCGCAGCTGGTTCATGCACTGCAGCTCCCACACCAACAGGTGCGTGAGCGCCCGGCCTCCCTGTCGCGGGGCTTAGGGATGAGAGCCCTCCTGCTGTTCCCACGTTCCGGGGTCGGGAATGGCGGGCGGTGTTTTTGGCCACTTTGGCGTCCAGCTTCCAGGGAGAAGCGAGCGCTGGCCCGCAGCGCAGAGGGGGGATCGGACAGAGTCTAGAGCACAGCAGAGCCAGCGGGTGTGCAGGCCGCTCAGCGAGCCCCGCGCCTGGGTTCCGCCGCCCCTCCGCTCTGCTTTCCTCCACACCCGTCAGCCCAGCAGGGCTGTGAATCAGCCCGGCGGGAGGTGTGGCACCCTTGGGGCGCTCCTTGCTGGTGGCTCTGTCCGGGCACCCCCAGCACTGCCTCACCCTGAGCCCGGCCCTGGCAGTGGTGTCACCAGGCTGGACACGGGAAACTCCCATGCTGGGGGGACGGGCCCTCTGGGGCTGCCCTGGCCAAGGAACCCACAAATGGAGGGTTGTGACCCTCAGAGCTGCCTGCTTGCTGTGGGGTTTCCTTCCCAGTCTGCTGAGGGCCTTCTCCCCAGCGGGCAGAGGCGAGGGGCCCCGAGAGGCCGACCTCCCTGCACGCCAGCGCTGGGCAAGGTCAGCTCTGGGGGCTCTCGGTGCTCTGGGCCCACCTGCAGCTCTGCAAATGGCCCCAGGGGTCCTGGTCTGGGGCAGGGACTTGCCTGAGGATCCTCGGGGCGGGGTTGGGGGGGGGTGGAGGCCGATCGGACCCTCCCACCTGCCTTTTCACTGGTAGTGACCGTCTCTCCAGAGGCAGCTCTGCGCGGGCGCTGCGGACTGCCTGCTCACAGACCGCGCAGGGGCCGAGTCTGGGCCCAGCAGCTCCGTCTCTACTTACTTAGGCCACGCAGGCGCCCAGATACACTGGGACGGGCGTAACAAGAGAGAGCAGGTGCGGAGCTTTCTTTGTGCCCCATGCTGTGGGAAGCCCCTGGCTCCTACGGTTCCGTCTGGGCCGTGGGAAAGTGCGACTGTGATCGCCATTTTGCAGATTATGAGATTGGGGCGTAAGGCTGATGCTCAAGTCACAGGACTCATTAGAGGCCGTGTCAGGGTTTAACTCAGGATGCCGGCTCCAGTTCCGGGGGGCAGGGGCGGGGCGGAGCGGTCGGGGCTGGGCCGGGGGACCCCGGGGTAGGCTGCCGCTTGGGCGGGTCATTACCGCCACCTGGTGGTCAGCATCTGAACAGCACCAACAGGCCCGCTGCCAGTTCCCTTCCCCACCGGCGGGCTCCTGCCCTGGGGGGCCCGGCTCACCCTCCGGGAAACCTGCCCTCTGAAAACACCCAGCAAGCGCTGCTCGCCGTTTCCCGTGCTCCCAGCCCACCATCAGCCTCCAGCTGACCAGCTCATTCCCAGTCAGGAAAGGACAAGGATGGTTTGGTGATCCGAGCAGAGCAGCCAGTGGCAAGGCCGGCCGACCTCAGCCCCAGCCAAGGGAGGGGACGGTCCGACGGCCTCGGCCCGCCCGCCCCGGTGCTGCCCGCCTAAGGACCGGCCCCGCCCGGTGGAGGCGAATCCCAGCCACCACGAAATGGAGCCTCGCAGCAGGTGTCAGGAGCGTCACGACGCACGCCCTGTGCCCCGCCGCGGGTCACCGTGGGATGGCCAGCGCCCTGCCCCGCCGCAGGGGCTGTGTTTTTAGGCGAGGGTACCCGGCGTGCGTCGTGACGCACGTGCGTCTGCCCCCCACCCCATATACCTCCCGTCCTCACCTACGTGTCGGGCTCCTCTTCCCAGGACGGAAGGCGGCGTGTGCAAGGGGGCCACCGTGGGCGTGCTACTGGACCTGAACGAGCACACCCTGACCTTCTTCATTAACGGGCAGCAGCAGGGCCCTACGGCCTTCAGCCACGTGGACGGGGTCTTCATGCCGGCCCTCAGCCTCAACCGCAACGTGCAGGTACCGCGCACCCTCCAGGTCAGGGCCCGTCTGCCGCCCCCGGCCCCGGCCCCGCTGCCCGTGGGCCTCCAAAGTGCGCCGGGCAAAGGGGGCTCTAAAGAAGCCGTCCGCGGTGCCGTCCAGGCAGGGAGCTTACCCACCGGCCCACCTGGGCATCCCCTGGAGACGGTCCTCTCCGGCATGATGTTTTCTTGCTTGTCCGCTTGAAAGGAGCAGAGGCTCTAGGTGGCAGCTTCGGGGCGGGGTGTGAAGGGGACGGGTGACAGGCAGGGTGGAGAGGGCCAGGGAGGGTGGAGGAGGGAGGCAAGTCCTTCTTCCACGTTCTGGGAGAGAGGAAGGTCGGTGCCCCTGCCCGGCGTGGGCCCCGATGGCCCGGGGTGTGCCGGGCCTCCACGTGGCTTTCCCCCGAGAGGAGAGACCGAACTGAGGCGGGACCTCTCCTAAGGGTTCCCTCTCACCCTCCCTGTCCCTCTGGCTCCTGCGTGAAGCAGGCAGCCCCTCAGGGCCAGGCCCAGTCCTGGGGGCTGCGGGGGTACCGCCGGCCCAGGAGGCCCGACACACCCAGAGGCAAAATGGGAGCCCGGTGAGGGTGTGAGGGAAGCTTGGAGAGTAGCGTGGAGCAGGGTGCCAGCCTTTGTTCCTGGCACACTGCTCCTCCGCCCGGGAGGTATATGGGGTGGGGGGCAGAGGCCTGCTTTGCGGTGCCCACTGACCCTGAATATTGTCACTTACTGATTGATTTGTATCTCCAGTCCTTGCAAAAGGGCTTTGAGGCAGCCTGAAATATGGGCTGTTCTTCCACAGGGTTCATAGAACAGATGTAGGAGAGGAAAGAGGGCCATGGAAAGAAAGCAGAAACGCATGTAAACCCAGAGCCCCAGTCCCCCGACTGTAAGAGAGCATCAGCCTTGCCGGGGCTCCTGGCAGTGGGGGCGGCGTGAAAGAGGCAACGACCAGCTCCTGGGGCAGACTCCCGGGCCTGATGTCAGTGAGGCCGAGCATGATGAACAGCTGACTCCACAGCACAGAGAAGGCGGGCTGCTGCCCGTGGGGATCCCGGAGCAGAGGGCGGCACAGCTGCTGAGCTGTCTGCGCTCAGGGTTCACGGGCAGCAGCTCCCGCCCTCGCTCACCGCATCTTCTTTTCCAGGTCACCCTGCACACGGGATTGGAAGTGCCAACCAATCTGGGACGGCCAAAGCTGCCGGGCAACTAGCCTCCCAGGCCCTGCTCTGCACGGCTGTCCCTCACTGCACTCACATAACCCCCAGGGCAGCACAGCCACATCTTGGGTGCAGCCCAGCAGCCACGGAGCATCTTAGAGACCCGCTTTCTTTGGGGGACGGAGAATGATCTGCAGGCTGTGCGCACGGAGGCCCCAGTCAGTGGTGAACATGGGAGTGTGTTTCCCCTCGTTCCACCGGCCGTTACAAATACGAAGAGGGACCTTTCTCAAGGGAGCAAGGAAGTGTTCGGGGTTTCATTTTGTTTCCTGCCTTCCGATTTAGAAGCTTGTCTTTTTGGGGGGCAAGAGGAGAGCAGGCTCTGAGACGTGAATCCTGAGAGCAGGAGGCGGCGATGGGGGGGGGGCGCTCGGGAATCTTGTGGCCTCAGTGTCAAGTCTTCTTCAGAGAACCAAGGGTGCAGGTTCCCATCTTTGCCAGGAAACGTTGTTATCCTTTAGCTTTTCGGTTCTGGACTCTTCAGTACGTTATGCCACTTGCAGACCTAATCCAGGATGGATAGAGAGGGATGTTAATCATTCATCATGATCTTTGCCGCTCTCGTTGAACTGTTGAGAACTTTTTAAAATAGTTTCCTTAGGGTCCTTCATTAGTCCACCAACCTCTCTCTCTTACACACACACACACACACACACACACACCCAGTCTGCTACAATTCACTCAGTTCTTAAACACAAAAGAAAACACTGGAATCTGAATCACTGTGTGAAGAGTCTCCACCTGGTGATGGCTTTTTCGGGAGCTGGCTCCCCACGACGTTCGCTGCAAACCTGTTACTCTTCCGAGCTCGGAGGCTCTCAGACTCATGAGCGTATGAGATGGGAGTCCCTGGGGAAGTCCCTTATACTCAGTCCACCTTCACTTTGAGACCATCTACTGTCAACGTGAAAGCATCATGAGAGCAAAAGGTGGCCCCGATGGCAGGGGAGGCTCTGCCCTGACGGGGCGGGCAGGACTCTGCAGGAGGCAGGAAACAGATGACGTCATGTTCCTGGTCTCCCTGCTTGCCCGCCAGCCCGGGTGTGCGGAGTCCACGTGGCCAGGGCGGGGCTCTGGGGTGAGCCCTCCCCTGCCTGCTGGGAACACTAACCTTCTCCCTTGAGTCTGCAGCCCGCTGCAGGGTCTGAGCCCGGAGCCGGCCGCCGTCCTGGCCCCGGAGCCCCTCCCCCTCCTCCCGGGTCTCTTCTTCCTTGACCTCCACCGCCTCCATCTCCAACTGGTAGTACGCCGTTCTCTCTCCTTTTTAAAAGAATATATTTTATCAAGCATTCTTTTTGAGGTCGAGGGGTAACTTGTCTATTTGCTGGATTGGATTTTTATAAAACTTAGCCCGGAAACCGGCACCAACTGTGTTTACTCAGTTCACTCACTTCTACCTGCTTGTTTAGACGCTGCACTTGCTTTCTGAGTCAGCCCGGCCAGTGCTGTGTAAATCCTACCCTCTATTCAGCAGATCCGACAATCCTACCTCAAGCTCCCGCTCCCAGACGGGGGGTGGCCTGCGAGGCCGGCTGCCCCGCGTCTGCAGGAGCCGCCTGGTGCTGTGTTCAAGCCTCCGCCGCCCAGGCCCTGGCAACCACCTGCTCGGTGGAGTCGAGGTCTTGCCCCGTCCTCGTCGTCCGGCGGGTGGCTCCCAGGGCACTCCCGCATCCCGCCCCGAAGCCCCGGCCAGAGCCCAGCAGGTGATGCGCACGGCCCGGCGCCCCGACCGCCTGCCCCGTCTCCGCTTCCACTGCCCTTCCGTCTCACTCTTGGGCCACGGCCCCGGCAGCCTCGGCTTGGAGGGTATGGAAGGTTCCTGAAGGTTGGAGGAACCAGAGGAGGCACAGCCTTCCCGGGGCCAAGGGAGCCGTGGCCGGCAGGGCCAGAGGTGTCGGCTTTGGGATGTGTCTTTTGGGAAAGATGAGCTCGTCGGTCCCGAGGTGGGCCGGGCCGGTGGAATTGGCTCTTTTCGGTGGAGTCTGAGTGAAAGGCTGGGGAGCTCCCAGGATCATGGAAGCCGTGTGACCATGCGGCCCTGGCCCTGCGTCTTCGGGGAGGAGCTCCTGGGCATCAGCCTGGACTTGGTACCAGCCTTCGGAGAGCCAGCACCTCGGTCAGAGGGAGATGGGAAAGGGAGAAGGGAGGCCTGTTTAGGGAGAACATGACCTGCGGCTCAGAGAGAAGCCACCGGGACTCTCTCCCCACGGCCGCGGCGGCCAGAGGGGCTGTGAGTGGGGAGCCGGTGAGCACGTGCCTTTCCCAACTCCTCCAGGGGCCCAGAAGCAATACGGCGGATACTGGGGACCGCGTCAGGCTGTCCTACAGCCACCTCTTCTGTCCTCAGCACAAAACACCTTCTAGGAACCGGAACGGACCTCGGGGAGAAGGCAGGTCCGTGCGGCACACCCGTGTTCTTGAGGAACCAGCAGACTGAACAAGGGACTCGTCAACAACTCATGGCCTTGGGTCACCCTCTCGAGAAGCCTGGGATTCAGAGTAGAAGCGACAGGTCACGGGCTTCTCATCTGCCATTGAATTTTCTGTTCCTTTACAATGCGGTGACATGTTTGTACATAAAAAACGATATCAAGATGATGCTTTGGTCGGGCTGGCTGACGGATAACTTGGTATTCGTCTATCAAGCAGTTTCAGTGAGAAAGGAATTCAAAGTAATTTAAAGTGTCAAGTTCCATTATATTGTAAATAACGCCCCCCCCCCCCCCCCCCCCAAGCAACGTAGTTCTGCAGTTTGTTCTTTGCTAGTGAGCCAGTTTGGTCCAAGTGTATGCCTTTCCTTTTAGAATTAATCTCTTTAAAAATTGTCCAATAGCATTTCACTGCATAGCATCCTAGCTCCTAATTCAAAGCAAGGTAAGACATTACACACAGCCCGGCTTCCCCCTCTGTCCTGTTTGGGAAAATAACGATTCCAATTAAAGTGGGCATCAGTCATCCTGACCCACAAAGGGACTCACCTAAAAACTATAAAACTGTAGAGAGTTATAGGCTGAGTCTTCAGCCCTACACGTACGTATCTGTAGTTTCGACAGCAACCTCAGGCGCCCTGTGGCCCACCGACACTGGGGAGGGTCATGCGTACAGCGCAAGCCTGGGCAGAACAGGGGTTCAGGGAGTGATGGGGACAGGCCCATCCTCCTTGCTGTTAGCGCCCAGGACTGCCCCGTCTCTGGTGCCCCTGCCCTCTGCCTACCAGAGCACTCTCAGGAAAGGACCAGGATGCAGGATCTACGTGTACTTCTTCCAGGGATATTTGCTTTTAAGCCTTAATTCTAGTTGCAACTGAAAGGCTTGGTCCCCTGAGAAGGCGGGTTTCAGAGCAGGTGAGCAGGTCGCTTGTACAGGAAGCTGCCGCTGGTCCCAGGGCGCCTGCTGGCTGTGAGGTCGGGAGGGTGGATACAGCCACAGGGCACTCAGCCTGTGAATGCTGAAAAACACTATCACGAGACCCTGGGCGATGCCAGGAGTTCTCAGCTCAGCACTACTGACATTTGGCACGGCGGGCAAGAGCGGGAGGGCTATTTCTCTGTTGTGGGATCCTGCCCTGTGCACTACAGGATGTTGAGAAGCGTCCCTGACTCACTAGATGCCAGTAGCGCCCCAAATCAGTTGTGACAGGTAGAAGTGTCTGCAGACTCCCTGGCTGAGAACCACCGGGTTATGCTGGCAGTCTGTCACGTGTCCATACGTACCGTGATGCGTGAGGCGTCCACGCTGTGGTCCCCGGAAAGCCTGTACCGCGAGGCTGCGGGCTTCATCTTGACACCCACGAGCTGGCTTTCCCAGGTCTGCAGTGTCCTGCCAGATGGGGCAGGTCGGTAAAATGAGGGGAGCCTCTCATAGAAGCCAATCCGTCAGGTCTCACTCTGTACTCCCCAAATGTCCCCAACCCACCCCCATTCCTAGAAAGCAAAACTCCTTACCCGTGTTTTTGCCTGCCCACTTTTTGCCTTCCACTTTTGACTGGAAGCAACAGGAACTTCTTCGGAGGGGTGTGGCCTTCAGCTGGTCAAAGAAATCTAATCAGGTATCATCAAAAAGCTATTCAAGGCCTCTGCGGATCCTGGGAAATCTCGGCTTTTCTTTTGCAAGTGAGCCAGGAGCTATTCATTGGTCACATTCCTTGATCCACGGCTTTAACTTTAAATGGACTGTAAGACAGAGAAGAGTAGGTTTGGGGCAGGAGACCAGGCTCAGCCCCCAGAAACGCCTCTCCTTGAACCTGGTACCGGTGCGGCCAAATCTCTTCAGTGTTTCCGTGCCTCAGTCTCCCCGCCTGAACGTGGGAGCGGCCACACTAACCTACCTCGTCTGGTGTGCTGTGAGGAACACAGGATAACGCTCCTTAGAGAAGAAAGTGGCGCATTTCATCTACGGAGGTCCAGGCTAACAGCTCCCATTCAGAGGACGTGCGGTGGCTTTCCCAAGCATTCTCTGACCAGTGTCTTCCATCCAAGCCTCTTGCGACCAGGAGCACGCGCTGACTACACAGCTGCCCGGCCGCGAGGGGGCGAAACCGGCTTCACGTGAGCACAGAGGCCAACACAGCAGCTGTTCCCCGTCAGAGCGGAAGAGCCGTCAGCAGGCTACGCGTCAGTGTTCCCAAAGGCGTCCGCAGGCAGAAACCCCCTTGAAACACGGAAGGAGAGTGACCGCCTTCCTGCCTCCTTGGTTATCTTAGTTCTAGTATCTAAGGGGGTCCCCCGGCCGATGACGTGTCTCCTCTGTTTCCAAAGATCTCAGCAGAGGGAGTGGCTTTGAAAACCAGCGTCTAAGTGTGGAAGGCGGGTTAGGTGGAGGGGCTGCTCACACACAGGCACTACCTGGTAAGGGGGGGCTCCTGGCTTTCGCGATGAACCATGCCGACTTGAGTCAGGAGGTGGGAGCTGAGGGTCCAGGCAAACCTCTAAGCCGCGGGAGGCATCGCCTTCTCTCAAAGGGCGCGACTCCCACAGGGCGGGGGCTGCCTGCCCGGGTCCCGGGAGACCCAGGGGACTCTCGGGCCAGCAAGGTGGGCGCTGGTCCCCAGGCCAGGCCCTCAGGAAGCCTCTGAGGAGAGTCCAAGACAGGCTTCGGGTGTGGAAAAGTGACTGCTTGCGGCTGTGGACGCAGGAGCGTGGCGGATGCTTCCTGGGGGAGGCTGCAGCCTGGGGAGGGCCTTTCCGACTCCTCACCTGGTGGCCCGACGGCCCAGACCCCGGGGTTGCTCAGCACCAACAGGAAGTGCAGAGTGAGCAAAGCAGAAAACGTGAAATGCATGATGTAGAATTGCTGCTTTCACACTAAACTGTTGTATCAAGCATGAGAGATGTGTGTTTAACGTTGGCAAAGGAATTTTAAGAGTAACAAAAAGCTTTGTGTCCTTGTTTCGGCTGTCGACAGAACCTCCATCTTCCTGTCTTTCTTTGCCCCGCTTTCTCCCTCCCCCCATCCCTCCCCCACCGCATCCACTTTCTGTTGGGAGCTGTTGGCATTTGGTGGCAGCTCTTGGTCCCGTCGGTGTTCACGTTCCGCTGGAAACACGGAGGAGGGAAGTGGGGGGAAGGTATGCAACTTTTTTCTAATTTTTGTATTGGTATCCCAAGCGTTTGTATTTTTTGAATTGCAGACACTGTGTCTTCTGGTCCTTGGGGGTTGGTTGAACTTCGTGTATTGCCTTTTGGAAAACCTGAGTTTTACCACAGTCTTAAGCAGATTTGAAATAAATTCTTTTGACACTGCCAACAGCTGAAAGACAAGGTATGGTCTGTGATTACTGCTCAGCGGCAAGGTCTGCCTCTCTCCAAAGCGGCCTAAATGCCAGCTGGATGGGGCAGAGACTGTGGGGCGGGGTGGAGGGACCCCAAGGTCAATGTGCTTCTGCGGCGTGCGCCCGGGAAATCGTGAAGTGATCACATTTGACTCTCTTCTATAAGGTACCATCTCAAGCAGTCCATGGAATTCATTTTTGCAAGAGGTAATAAGGCTGGAAATTGATAACAGTTAACATATGGTTAAAGATAAATTCACATATGAAAAATCGATCATGGGTTACAGTGGAAGGTTAGACTTGGGGGAAACGTCCTAAGTGACCTGGGAGCATGAAGGAGACTGACCGGCCCCTTCACCCAGACCGAGCCTGGTGTCTGACTGAAAACTCTGTGCCCCCTTCACTTCCCTCAAATTATGCTCCCCAAGAGCAGCCATCTCCAGCGCCCCCCCCAGCCCAGGACCTGGCCTCAGCCCTCAATCACCTGCCAGACCACCGAGTGGTTCAGCAGGGTCGGGGGCAGTCGCAGACTCTGAGAGCAGCGGGCAGGACGTCCCTTAGAGCTCTTGGCATCAACACAAAGAGAAGGAAGCAGAATCAGGCCAAGGGAGACTCAGCGAGGGCCTCACACCTCAACTGGAGTCATCCAGAGCTGGGATGACAAGTCCCTCACATCAGGACTTCCCCGGTGGCCCAGTGGCTAGGACTCTGCGCTCCCAATGCAGGGGAGCCCGGTTCAATCCCTGGTCGGGGAACTAGATCCCACAGGCATGCCGCAACTAGGAGTCTGCATGCCGCGACGAAGACCCCGTGCAGCCAAATAAATAAAAACTAAATATTTAAAAATAAGAAAAAATAATACCCTCAGGTCAATTATCGCTGCCTGTGGCCAGCACGGGAAGGGGGCGGGCAGTCCCCGAAAAGCGCTGGCCGCTGAAGGCTGTGTGCTTAGCGCTCTCGGCAGCAGAGGGACCAAGTCCTTATTCCCGACGGGGGATCTGCGAGGGACATCGCAGGGCCCACCGGTCCACCCCCGTGCCACGCATCTGTGCCTCCCTGAGGTTTGGGGAGAAGCTCTTCCAGAGTCCCAGTGAGGGGAGCTGAGCTGAGGAAGGCTCGCTGGGCCTGGCGCTGCCCAGACACTCACCATTAGCGCCCTTTCCTCCTTACCCTAGACTCCCTCCACCGTCACCCAGCACCTGATTCAAACCCTCATCTCCTGCGGGCTGGCGGGTGGGGAGGATCCGAGCCTCAGCTCCCCAGGCCCTTCGCAGTCCAGGGTTCCGGCACTTGTGTGTTTGCCACCCACACTGGGGACAGGGAGTACGAGAGACACCTGGGTGACCACCTGGGCGCAGACAGACCCCTCCCTGGCCCCTGGGTGCCGGCAGCCCCACCGGCTCTTGCTGGTCAGGCTCAATCACCCCTGCGGGGTGGTGTCTCTTCTCATGCAGGCAACAGCCTCGGTTCAGTGGGACACAGCTGTGCTCTCTGCTTCCCTCTTTGCAAAGTAGGGGCGCTAGGTCCACAAGGCCAAGAGTTTTGGGGATGGGAACCTCGAGTTCCCTAAGCGGGTCACCGGGAGCAAGGGCAGGTGGGAGTGTCGCGTGGCACCAGGACCGATCCACGCGATGTGTCCACGACCGGGGAGATGCTCTGCGACGGGGGTAGGGCGGTGAGTATGGAAGAGACCGCGAGGAAGCTCTTACCCAGCGCACCCAGGCCAGGGCTCCTCCCTCTGTGGCTGCTGCCAGACGACCCTTGTCTTCCATGAAGAACCGTTTTCCATTGTCACTTCTCTCTGCTGCTAACCTTGCTGGAAGGAGCCTCACCAACAGGGAGATAAAAGCACAGTCTTATGCGTGATCATCAGTCCTTACCGTGCACGTTGCTTGTAGCCTCTAGACCTCTGAGTGGTTCCAGAGCACCCAGTGGTCACAAAACTGCTCTGTAAGTATTTAAGAAGTGAAACAAAAACAAGGTAAGCAATTTATACTAGGAATTTGCATGCTTTTCCAGAATTGACTAGCCTGGGGCTATGGTTCTGAGTCGGGCCAAGTGCTCAGTTATCTGAGCCACTGAAGCTCATGGGCGGTGAGGTGAGGTGGAGCCACTAGGTTTCCCGGCTCCCTGCAGAGAAAGAGAGGGCGTTAAACTGGGCCGGTGCCCACTCCACTAGGTTATTTCCAGCACCTGACATTTTTCCTAGGGCTTCTGCCATATTTGGGATCTTCTACACCTTCTTAAAAAGTCTCTCTTGGGCTTCCCTGGTGGCGCAGTGGTTAAGAATCCGCCTGCCAATGCAGAGGACACGGGTTCGAGCCCCGGTCCGGGAAGATCCCACATGCTGCGGAGCAACTAGGCCCTGAGCCACAACTACTGAGCCTGCGCGTCTGGAGCCTCTGCTCTGCAACAAGAGAGGCCGCGATAGTGAGAGGCCCGCGTACCACGATGAAGAGGGGCCCCCGCTTGCCACAACTAGAGAAAGCCCTCGCACAGAAACGAAGACCCAACACAGCAAAAATAAATATACATAAATTTAAAAAAAAAGTCCCTCTTAAAAACTGCCAGAATATACACCCTAACGAACACTGCCTTTCAAAGTGAACCTGAAAAATAAAAGTTAGTGTTTTCACTTAATAAAACATTTCCAATCTTGCTTCAATTCAAAGCATATTTTGAACAATGGCAATGCCTTCAGAGTCAATGTATGAGTCGCTTAAGAAAGTCAGCCAGCAGTGAAAAGTACCCCTCTGTTTTCACCAAAACTTTATTATTTGTTAGGCTTGGATCTCAATTTTTGTCACTGAAAACAAAAAAAATTGAAGACCTTTTTTTTTTAAAGTTCCACAAGCTTTGAGAAGTTCCGGACACTTTCAACAAGGGCAATATTATTTTAAAATATATGTATGATTACCCCAGGTGATGACTTAGAAGGAGATAACATTTGCTTAACTCATCTGTTGTGTTATTTAAGAGTCATGGTCATTTTTACCACAAAAGTTGTATTTTATTTATACAAGTTCTTACAAAGTAGAGTTTATACACTTTGGCTGAAAATCGAAAATGCTTTTCCCACAAAACAACTGACAAATGATCACATTCTTAGTTCTTTCATGATATAGTAACATTAAATCATTTTTAGAAAATTAAAAAGCAATTTTAAGCTAATTATTAGCATCTACAAATCCGTAAAATTATGAAATATCTACAAGCAAATGCACAAAACACCAGTGAAAGTGAAACTCGAGTGAACCTCGATGGAGAATATTAAAACATTCTTCTCAATTAGTTTTGAAACAGCAGGGAAGGGGGCAGGGCACAACCTTTGAAAGAATGACATAGCCCGAGGACACGACATAAACCGATTAGAACCAAATGGGTCCAAGATGGCGGACGAGTCGACTTCCACTAGACCTTGAGCCCCAGTATACGCTCACTGTAACACATCAGCAAGCTAAATGACACACCCACAGGCGCCATGACAGTTCCAAGAGCGACCACAAGGATCAAGAAGAGGGCGGTGGCCCAGTTCCTGGAAATCCCCGCCCCTTCCCCCAAACAGCTGGAATACTCTCACCACTCATTAGACTGTGCAATGACCCACCCCTATTAAAACGGACAACCCCAGACCCTGGTGCCGCTCTCGCCTTCTGAGATGGCCCACGCTGTCTGTGGAGTGTGTGTCTCTGAATAAATCCACTTCTTACCTATCTATCACTTTGTCTCTCGCTGAATTCTTTCTGCGATGAGACATCAAGAACCTGAGCTTCATGAAGTCCTGAGACCAGGTGTGTGACCTCAGCTGGAAGCCTGTGGGTTCAAGTCCCAGTCTGAGTTACACGGTTTCAGTTTTACTTCAGATCCACATTGCAGCTGTGGCCCAACATGGTTATCACCAAAAAAAAAAAAAAATCAGACACTTCAGCAGATAGAAATTTTATTATTTCAATTTGATTTTGTTCCCTAAAATAAAAGAGCAGTCTATGAAATATGAAATAAATAAGAATAACCTGGAAGTCTTGTAGGGGTCCAGTTTCAGTACACTGGCACTTTCCCATTTCTCTCTTTATTTTATAAAGTACTTCATTTAGCCACTCTGGAAGAATTTATTTTTTTGATATCAACTTGGCTCAGAATCAGTGTCCCATTTTTGAATTTTCCAACCTGTCCAATCCGTCCACTTGACAAAATACTGGGAGCCGATTTCTTCTTTTTGGATTTCCTACATTTAAAGTGAGAGGAAGGTACTACAGTTAAGCTTATACAAAAGGATTTCAGCACCACCAACCAGGCCACGGAGGTCTGGCCCTGCAACATCCTGGCCCCTCCCATGCAAGGCTCCCGCCCCACTGCAGCACCACTAGCTTCCTGCGTCCCTGAACATGCCAACTGCCTGCTGCCCCAGGGCCTTTGCACTGGTTTCTTCCACGTTGAATACTCTGCTACCAGATCTTTCCGGATCTTCCCCACTCAGTTCTCGACTCAGATGTGGCCTCCTTAGAACGACATACCAGCCCACCCTCAGTGACGTTCTCTCACGATGCACTATTTCAACCTCCTCACAAAACCTGCCAGGACCTGACATGCCCTTACTTATCTGTTTAGATGTTTTGGTGTTTCCCTCCCTAAAATATAAGCTCCTCCAGGGCGGGGACTCTCAGTGTGATCATGGCTGTACGCCCAACACGTAGACACCTACGTGCCCGGCGCACAGTGGGCCCTTGACAGACCACACAACCAGAAGAGATGACCACCTTCCAGTATGTGCAAGCTCACTAGGGGTCCAAGAAAAAGCTCAAGACAAAAGTAGATTTTGAAACAGTAATTTGAGGAGAGAGAAAAAGGTACTTGAACAAAAGCTAAGAAGCAAGCAGAACAGCACAAAATCAATGCTCCATTACTCAAGCCACGGCGCTCTGCCTCGTGAGGTCGCGCAAGTGCAGGCAGCGCAGCCTCTCAGGAGGGGACAGAGGTCTTGTTGGAAATGTCAGCCTCAGCTTTTCCACTAGTCACTGCACATGTCTGGTCTTTGAAAATGGGAGACTGGTTCCTAGTTCAATCCTGAGGGAGCTGTCTGATCTTGGACAATTTACTGAATCCTGTCTCCCCCCTCCAGGGCTTGACTTAGGACCAGGACAGACAGTGCACCACTGTATCAGGCTAGAAACACCACATCAATTTAAGGTATTATGTTCAGAACTAACCAATGGATTTATCCAAATCATTCCACCTGAGTACCTGATGGTATCACTCACCTGTCTTCCTGTCCTTTCCTCTTCTTTTTCTTGAAAATATCTGTGTCCTGGGCCTGATTTCACAATTAAAGAAAACATATGTATCAGTAATGGATAATGGAGATTCCAAAAAAAGGCAAGAGGTTTGTGACCAAAAGCCACAGAGGTATCATTTATTTTTAATATTTTTTTCAAGTAGCATGTTAATTATACAAAGTTTCATCCTAAAACCCTTTCAAGACTGTGAAAGGCCATTCAGAGAAAACAGACAGGAGAAATGTCAAATCTTCCACTTTAGGCGAAAGGGAGGGAGCGTAACATCTATTCCCCTTGTGGTTTTTCAGAAGCCCGTGTGTTCTATACAATGTAAAAGGCAAAAAAAAAAAAAAATGACTGCATATAGGGAAAAGGTCAAAGTAGCTCCCAGTACCTGAACAGGAGTTTGCTATTTCAAAGCAAACCTTTCAGGTGAATAAGTCAGATTATGTGGCTGGTATCACAAAATGTAGCTGACTTGAAGAGAGGGTAAGAACAGTCATCTAACTCTAGATTTGTTGCTGTCTAGACTGCTTTCCAAGCAGCAGGGTCCAGCAAATTGCAACCACCTTTCTGTTCTAGTTTAAGAAAAGGCTATCACACCTACCGTTCTCTTTACTTTTTCCTTCGCAGACTTTTTTTCTTTGATTTGCTCCTGCAAAACCTTGTAATTCACATAACTATTTTTGGGAGGCTGAAATGAGAAAGGACACCAAGCATCATTTCTGACTTTGCCTTTGCCCCCGCCCTGCCCTGCCCGGGGCGCCCCCCTTTGCTGCGCCCCATCTGCGGGTGGGAGGCCGAAGCAGCCCTCACCTTAGCGCCCAGCATAATGGCGCGTCCCTGCTCCAGGACTCTCTCCTTTCCTTTTCCATAACCTGTGATCCCAAACCGGTGCACTTCCAAACGAGCCTGCAGACACAAAGCACAGTCAGGCCCAAATGCCTTCCAGAAACTCCACAGAGGAAACACAGCCCTAGGAGTGCTGCCTGCCAGACACGATGGGCTACCTGCCCAGCACTTTTACGGAGGACCTGCAGGGGCTACACCTGGCAAGAGTGCCGTCACGGTGTGGCTTAAGCAGCTTTGTGGAGTCGCTCACAGAGGTCCATAGCCTCCCCACGCCATTCTCCCACACCGCATGCAGGCGTCGAAGCAAAGACTTATCTCCACACAAATCAGTGACAAAACGAGGGTGACCCGCAGAGCTCTGCCGTACTTTAGGATGTGCCCTAAAACAAGCTACTACCCATAAAGGCAACAACTAAAAGTACCTTCCCAAATACATCTACTCACACGTGGAAACCCTTTATCACAGCAGCTTCAAACACAGGTCCACGTTCTTTCTTTAAAAACATATTGTAGAAGAGAAAACGTCACCAATACCCACTCTTGGCAGCTGAATTACTTCCTGTCTTTTTTCTCACACATTATCTTTAACTTTTTTTTTATTATTATTTATTTATTTATGTATTATTTTGGCTGCGCCAGGTCTTAGTTCCGGCCCGTGGGACCTTCATTGCGGCACGTGGGACCTTCACTGCAGCACATGGACTCTTAGTTGTGAAATGCATGTGGGATCTAGTTCCCCAACCAGGGATCGAACCCGGGCTCCCTGCATTGGGAGGGTGGAGTCTTAACCACTGGACCACCAGGGAAGTCTCTCTCACACATTTTTAAAACCTAGTTACAACCACAGAACACACACATCCTTGCTTTTCCTACTTACCATTGTATCATTGACACTGTAGTCACAAAACCGACATGTTTTAAACGACTGCACAATGTTCAATCAAGTAAATGTAGTGTGATCTGCTTCACCATTTCCCCAACCATTGGACAACATGTAAACATATGCATTTTTGTTACAAAGCTGAAAAAAATAAGAATTTCAAAGCACGTACCTTTTCTAAGTTAAATTCTTGTACATCCACATCTTTCTCGAGGATACTAGTTTTGGTCTGAAAAGGAAAAGAAAACATTCTTATTAAGGTCATCTGTTCCTTATAACATCCATCACACCAAGAGCATACTCATGTTTTTAAAAGCCTTGAAACTGGCCCAGATGCCTAAATAACAAACAATAATACATGCTTGTTGCAAGAAGCCTAATTAACAGCTAATGGAAGACAAATGGAGAAAATAAATTCAAGGTTTCAAAGTTTAAGAAAAGACTGACGAGAAACTGAAAAAGAAAAGAGAGTAAGAGAGAGACCAATGTCTGTATCTCACACACCAAATGTGGGAAACTCTGTATGGTGGGGGGTTTAGAAAAGGATAACTGAGCAGAATTTTAGAGGGTAAAAAGGTCATATTTAAATAATTCTCAGGAATTCCCTGGCGGTCCAGTGGTTAGGACTTGGCGCTTTCACTGCCGTGGCCCAGGTTCAATCCCTGGTCGGGGAACTAAGATCCCACAAGCCGGGAGGGGGGGGGGAGGAAGGGAGGGAGGAGGGGAGGGAGGGGGGGGGGGGGGGGGGGGGGGGGGGAGGGGAGGGAGAGAAAAAGAATTCCCTCTTTTCTTCCCTCCTATCCAGCCATTGGAATGATGGCTAACTCTCTTAAACTCTCTTGAGTTGAAAATTTCTTTCAGGAACATCAGATTTCTAGAAATGATGGAGACTGGGTTTATAATTCCCCACAGAAAATAATGATACTGGAAATGCCATCAAAATATGTGACTCTTTACATCAATATATCCCCTGGCTGTGGTTACCAATCCATAGAATTGACCAGAAGTTTGAGACTTCAAGGAAACTATTGTCAAATCTGGCCAAGGACAGCGGTCTCTACTCAACCTCAGGCCATCCCAGCCGTGCAGCATCTAGAAAAGCAGTCCTGGCCTCTGGCTCAGCGGGGCAGGGTCTGTGCGGAGAGCAACGGGCAGGAGAATAGCTTGTTAAAACCCTTCTGCTTGTAACCTGCCTTCACTGGTCAAGCTCGCTTTAGTTATTTTGTTCTTTCCTTTCCCCTCTCTTTAACTGCATACCTACCCAGCTTCTCGTAGCCCAGTTGTTTTGCAGGAATTTGGAGTCAGCTCCTGCCCCGTGCGAGCTGGCTAAGGCTGGCCGGGTCATCAGCCCTAAAACTAGGTCTGCGCAGGTGTCCGAGGAAGGGCCTTTTGAGGTCAGGGGCCAGAAAGCTCTGATCATGCTGAGCACCTCCATTCTGAACACAGACGCCTGTAACCCAGATACGCCTGCACAAAGCACCGATTACCTCACCTTTTCCCCTTCCTCCAATCACCCTTCCCCACTCCTAAGACCACCGTGCTTATCCCATAAAGACCTCAGCCCCCTCGCTGTTGCGAGGCGGATCTCAGACTTGTTCTCCTATCTCCTCACTTGGCTGCCTCGTGAATAAACTGTAAACCTCGGCACCTTGGCGTCTGGCTTGCTGCTCGTCGGGCAAATGGACCTGGTTCGGTAACAGATCCTTCTTTATAGAGAAAAATTCTTGGCTAATTATCCTGATGCTGAGTCTATGAGCATGATCCCCACCACTACCTTAACTTTAATTTCTACTTTTAGCTTTAAAACCACTTTAGTACATTATTCACAATGCAGCACCTGCATTTAGAAATAATCAGTGGTCTCCCCTGTCTTCTTTCCCCTACCCTCACTGTGGTAGGGGCACTACTGCCTACAGGCAATACTGGGTCCTCCTCCACTTCTAGGCTCACAGGAGAACTGGGCTTTGCTGCCTACCTGAAGTTTGGCACGGCTACATGACTTGTTTTGGACAAAGTGTGAGCACAGGGAAGCATGCCCCTTCCATATGAAACCTCTAAGAGCCTTCATCGGGACTTCCCTGGTGGCGCAGTGGTTAACAATCTGCCTGCCACTGCAGGGGACACAGGTTCGAGCCCTGGTCCAGGAAGATCCCACATGCTACGGAGCAACTAAGCCCGTGCACCACAACTACTGAGCCTGCGCTCTAGAGCCTGTGAGCCACAACTACTGAAGCCCACGTGCCTAGAGCCCATGCTCCACAACAAGAGAAACCACTGTACTGAGAAGCCCACGCACCGCAACAAAGAGTAGCCCCCGCTCACCGCAACTAGAGAAAGCCCACGCGCATCAACAAAGACCAAACACAGCCAAAAAATAAAAAATAAATTAAAAAAAAAAAAAGGCTTCATCAACTCCCCTTCTCCACCAAATGGTGGAGCCCCTATCACCCTGGGTCCCTAGATTAGGATGGCGTGGATCACAGCCATCTGCCCTGACAATCCTGATGAACACGTAACATGAGAACAAGGTTAACTTTTGCCTTTAAACCACTGAGATGTAGGGACTACTTGTTATGCAACCACTGTCTCACCTGTCTTGACTGATAAAGCCTCACTGTCCTACACACGAGAGAGAGAAACATTTGGAGATTGTGAGAACTTGTCTGTTAGGTAGTGAAGAAGAAAGCAAGCTATAAGAAGCAGACTCAGACTGAGTATCAGACTCAGTGAACTTTCTCATGGGCTGACTTGCTGACCAAAAGTATTTTCTCCTGCACTGGTAAGATTTTTCTTCTATTAGTTACCCTGTCCAAACTTTGTCCAATTAGAGAAGAGTTGGGTAAATAAACATTCTCTTTTTAATTATGCCAGCAGTTCTGGGAATATTGAGAAATTTTTTCATATCTTCTTGAGCGTAAATTATTTCAATTAGATTACTTTCTTCTTAATACCTATCTGACACTGGATGTACTAAAGAGTAGGGGACATGGTACAGCTAAAGGGTGATGGACTTCAGGGCAGCCCTGGGGTAGTGCAGAGATTATGAGGGCAGTAAGAACCTGGGGCAAGGACTTCCCTGACAGTCCAGCAGTTAACACTCCATGCTTCCAACGCAGAGGGCGCAGGCTGGATCCCTGGTCGGGGAACTAAGATCCCATGTGCCATGGGGCGTGGCCAAAAATAAATAAATAAATAATAAAAAATAAAATAAACATTAAAAAACAAAAAGAACCTGGGGCAATAACTTGACAGAATGTCTTTATGTCTAGTGAAGCTTCTGGTGCAGTACACTTGTGTTCCTCAAGAGACAAACAGCCTAACTAACCTACATTCCCTCTCGCTTGTGTAGTAGTTGGGCACACAGCTTTCAAGCCAGAAAGCCTGGGGTCTGAACCCGAGCTCTAGCACTTATTTCACATCCACAGTCCTTTATCTGGAATCCTGAGACAATTCAGATGGTGATACTGTGAATATACTGAATACTGTCCAAGACAGCAACCCGTAATTAAGCACATTCACGTTTCTACAGCAATGCCTATGAATATTCACGCCCAATGGAACCAACAGAAATAACTCTTAAGCCCCACTTCAGTTCAGGTCGGGTTTTACTGCCAAATAAATTTGCGCCAAACTTAAAAAAACAACCTAGCTTGTGCTCTCCAAAGCTCTGGGGTTTTGGAACTGCAGATATGGGATGGTGGGGTACCTGCTTAAATGCAGGCAAATAGCTCAACCTCTCTAGGCATCAACCTCTTCTGCGAAATGAAGACAGGTCACGCTGTGAAGACCTAATGAGATACTGAACTAGTTAATGAATGTAAATAATCACGGTTAGTACACAGTAAGCACTCAGGAAATACTGGTAAATCTTTACTCAGCAATTCCTTACATGTTCAGAAGCAGTGTATGTGTACCTCAGTCCAGGCCACAGGATCCAGGCGTCCCTTCTGACCTACAGTACACTGTTCTATTATTTCTACTATATCTTTCTTGTCTCTTTTCTGTGGAGGCCATAAGGTTCATGAGATGGACCAGTGTTAGGGGTGGAAAAATCACATTGATCAGACACACCTCTGAAGGCCAGACAATACTTGGATCATTTTAAGCTACACGTGACCCTTTCATTTCTTAAGAGCATAGGAATTTTCTTCCTTACAGGCAGCCTTGCACTCATTAAAGAGTGAGTTCATCCACTCAATCCTCAAATCACAAGTCCAGGCCACCCCGTTTTGAACCTGGACCCCTGCAGTAATCGTCACTCGGTCCCCTCATGCCTCTGGCTACTGCTCACCTATAATCCATTTACCACGCAGGGGCCAGAGCCATCTTTTTAAAATATAAATCAGATCACTTCATGCCCTTGCTTAAATTCTTTGGTGGCTTTCCATGTGCTTTAAACTAACTCCAAAGGCCCCACGTCTCCGGGGCCTGGTGCGGGCTGGCCTCAGCCTGTCTCTCCAACAGCCCACATCTTCCCCCCTCCGTCCCCCTCCCCCTTGTCTTCTGGCTCCTGGAACCCGGAAGGCCTCTCTACAGCTCAGGGCATTTGCAAGGCAGCTTCCCTCTGCCTGCATTACTCTGCTCCCTCCTTTCCCAGCACCCTGCAACAGAGCATCAGCCTCAAGTCACCTCCTCCGACACCTCTGACCACTGGCTCTAAAGGAAGTTCTGCCTGTTACTCTCAGGACCCTGTATCTTTCCTTCAGAGGGTTTATGGCTCTTTTTAAGTATATTATTGATATTAATTTATCCAGGGTTTGCCCAACCCACCAGTAAACCATACACTCCATGAGAGCAGAGGACTGTACCTTGTTTACTGTGGGATCTCCTGGGCCTGGCAAAGAGTAAGCACCCAATTATTTGTGGAATAAATGAATGAATAAGATTTCTGGGCAGACTACATCTACAGAGCTTTACAAATGGGACATGATCAGGAAGTTCACTTGTAGGTCAGCTATCTGGAATGGGTAAAATATTAAACAAATGGTGACCAAGTTCCCAGATAAGTCCATTAAAAGGGGTTCTGGTCACCAACTCCGATGCAGGGGGAAGGGTTTCCCACACATGGGAGCAACGGTCCCACACAGTCAGGTGTTCTACAGTTCAGTGCTACTCTGACACTATCTACCAGAGACGGCACAGGTTCCGCAGGTGAAGGGGCTCAGTCCTACGATACCGTCCCCACTTCAGAGGCCAAATGCAAGCCCAGGTTGTTACCTATAGTACTTC